TATACCCTCTGGAGCCTTTTGTTTGGAGTTCTTTCCTGTTCCTGTTTGAGGCTATTTCCTGTGTCATGTATTCTGACCTGAGTCTGAGTGTGCCCCTTTGGCATCTGTGGGTTAATCCTATTATGTCCTGTCTTAGAGTTTGGGTGGAGTATGTAGATTTTAGGTGTCTTTGTCTTCCTAAGCTTCTAGCTTCAACCTTCCTGATGGTTTACATCTGCAGATGCTTGGGGGAGGGAGACTTGGGGCTATTAAGAAAAAACTGGGCATGCTTTTCTGCCTCTTTAAGATCCTTTGAGGAAATATATTTTCCTGCCTTTTTAATATTTCCTTCTCTGGGGGGGGGGGCTGACTTCCCACAGTAGCTTGGTAATAAAATATCTGCAAGAAAACAACCAATCTCAGAAAGCACCAAGGACCCCTCAAGCCAACCCTGAGCTACAGATATCCCCTTTAAGAGTAGCTCTATCAGTAGTTTTAGCTAGGGTGACAAATAGCTCCTCCATATTCAAAGACACTCTTCCTCTGAATGACAGTTGCTGGAGGCCAGACAATTAAAGAAAGCTTTCAACCTGTTGATAGACTTTCAAAGGACTATTTGTGAAAAGGGGATGCTGTCAAATACTTCACTTGCTCCAGCAGTACTTTACTGACATAGTTCAGGTCAAGATGCATTTGAAATCTGCCTCCCTGGGAACCCGTAGTAGTTTTGTAGAGTCAGAATTTGTGAAAGTAAAAAAAATAGTTTAAGGTGGGATGCTTTCGCACATTTACTTGCAAGCAGGACCGGCTGACCCCTGAAGCAGATCTGGAAAAGTTTAAGCTGCGAAGTATTAAAAATGATGTCAGAATAGAACCATCTTCTCTCCTTATGAAATATCCTATTCAGCGTATCTTCCAGTAGACATCACCAGATGGGACAAGTAATATCGGAGTTTTTGCAGCATCCTGCTTTCAGAAGATAGATATTAATCAGTATGAGAAGGAAATATTTGCCTCTTTCCTTCAAGTCACGCTTGGGTAGCTGTTAGGCCCTGCTGTTTAAACGTTTTGAGGAACTAAATTATGCTGCATGGATTTAGTTATTTAGTTATTTGAAATCTTAAATGTGATAGCTTTCTCATTTTGCATCAGACCTTGGTGCTCGCTGAGCTTGGTTGCTTTCTTTTGGATGTTTCATTACCCAGCGAGGTAACACCATCAGTCTGCAAGAAAACAACCAAACTCAGATAGCACAAAGTACTCCATAGTTCAACCCTGAGCTACCAAAATTCTTTCCTTTCTCATTTTATAAGGTTTATAATGCTGTTGTGTGTGTTTTTATAAACATCTCTCCTCTCTTCTGCTCCTCCTCCCTTCCTCTTAGTTTATTTATTTGCAATTACACAGAAGTCATTCACACTCAGAAAAGCATATGGAAATAAACCCTAGCCAGAAGCATGGCTTAAAAAGCAGTGCATTTTTAATAATTGTGCAGAATGGGGAATTTCAGCAGGCGTGACTGTGCATAATTAGCAGAGATGTGCAAATCAGCCCACATCCAGTCTGAAGCATTTATTTGTTTAACAGAACAGAATAATAGAGTTGGAAGGGACCTTGGAGGTCTTCTAGTCCAACCCCATTCCAGACAAATGATTGCCCAATCTTTAAAAAAAAAAAAAACTCCAGTGATGGAGCACCTACAAGTTCAGAAGGCAAATTGATCCACTGATTATTTGTTCTCACCATTAGGAAGTTTCTCCTCAGCTCTAGGTTGCTTCTCTCCTTGATTAGTTTCCATCCATTGTTTCTTGTCTTGCCTTCTGGTGCTTTGGAAAATCAAGGTGATTCAATTCAACACTTCAAACCTATGCAGATTTGGTCTGATTTGGAGATCCCAAGTCAAACCATCAAATTGGGTGGATTTGATTTTGAATTCTGAATAGGTTTTGTATATTTATATTTATATATACTATATGTAAAAAAATATAGTGCCATTTAATTTGGTGATACAATTCAACTTTCCAATTCAATTTGATTTAGAGGCTGGACTGAACTGCTTTCAAATTAAACTGTCTGAATTTCTCCCAATGGTTCTCTCATAAGCTTCCATCTGTAAAACAAACAAACCGGCAAACAAACATTTTTTTGGAATGTAAATGTTAAAAAAATGCAGAAGCTATGATTATTTTTATAACAATCATCTTCCCTGTGTCAAGCCCCGCAGGGCTTGTCATTCACCGGTGGGGGGGTACGGCACAGCCCGCAGCAGCTGTCTGTATTTCTGTCTCTGCCTGCCTGCCTGCCTGCCTGCCTGCCTGCCTGCCTGCCTGCCTGCCTGCCTGCCTGCCTGCCTGCCTGCCTATCTATCTATCTATCTATCTATCTATCTATCTATCTATCTATCTATCTATCTATCTATCTATCTATCTCTATCTCCTATCATAATCTAGCATTTATCATCTATTGTATCTTCTATCATCTATCTGTAATCTATATCTGTCTATCTATCTATCATCTATCTATCTATTTATCTATCATCTCTCTATCTATCTCCTATCATAATCTAGCATTTATCATCTATTGTATCTATCTATCTATCTATCTATCTATCTATCTATCTATCTATCTATCTATCTATCTATCTATCTCTCCTATCATAATCTAGCATTTATCATCTATTGTATCTTCTATCTGTCATCTATATCTATCTATCTATCTATCTATCTATCTATCTATCTATCTATCTATCTATCTATCTATCTATCTATCTATCTATCTATCTATCATCTATGTAATTTATTGTATATGCTTCCCATCTCACTCTGCAAAGCAAATAACATTGGTTATTCCCATAAGAACATGGAGAAGCTGCCAGGTGATAGCACCCCCAGTTACATAAATAATCAGGGAGCAAGCTAGAAATCTTGCCTAAACGTTGCACAAGGGTTAAAAACACGATCCTAGCTGATACTGCCTGCTTTCCAATGCACTGCCATAGCACACATATGAGTGCTTCCACTGTGTGGACACACGCCTACACATTCACAGAAGGTTCCTGCATAGATCTTTGTGCACTGAAGTGTGAAGGTCTGGACAAAGGTTCATGGTGCCTTCAGTAGAAGGTGTTGAGAAATTTCTACAGGTCAGGATCTTCAGGAAGGTGCCTTGATACAGAATATTTGTAAGCACATTCCCTTGATCATGCTTCTACAGGTAGTCCTCAACTCATAGCCATTCCTTTGGTGACTGTTCAAAGTTGCAACGGCACTACGAAAAAATGACTTGTTTTCACAAGTTGCATGACCGTTGCAGCATTCCCCACGGTCACATGATCCAAATCCCGGCTCTTGGCAACTGGCATGTATTTATGACAGTTGCACTGTCCCAGGTTCATGTGATCACTCTTGGTAACCTACCCAGCTGGTTTCTAACAAGTCAATGGGAGAAGCCAGATTTGCTTAATGACCGCAGGATTCACTTAACAACTGCAGTGATTCACTTAACAGCAGAAGGTCATAAAATGGGGCAAAACTTACTTAACAGCTGCCTGGCTTAGCAATGGAAAGGTTGGGTAATCAGAAGTTGAGGACTGCCTGTAACCTTTCTAGAAATCTGTGCAAGCAAGCTAGGTAGCTAGCTATCATTCATCCATCCATCCATTCATTCATTCATTCATTCATTCATTCATTCATTCATTCATTATTTCATTTAGAAACCACCCATCTCACTCATAGAGTGACTCTCTGCCTAAAGATCTTAGAGATGCATTAGGTCCAACGTTTGTTCCCACCAGGATACACTTCTGGTGGATGCTTGCAAGAGAGGGCAAGAAGCATTGACCGGATGAGTAAATTATCTAAAATGTTTCAAAGAAGCCCATAATTCACAGCCTTGGAAAGAATTGACTTGATGTGCAGTGAAAGTATGCTCAGACCTATGTCTGATCAAAGTCAAAGGGTGTGGTTGTCTCTGTCTTGTTTCAAGGCTGTCGAGGCACAGAATCTGCTTGGGGTGGGTTCTCCTTACTGGGGCAAACTACTGCATAGAAACAGGAAGCAAACTTCACACTCATAGCACTGATGATGTTACCTAGTCAAGTAATGAAATGTCTGCAAAGAAACCACAAAGCTCAGAGAGCACCAGAGTTCTTATTGTGTCCAGTGCAGGGCACAACTGTCTGCAGATGTGTCAGCACGAATCCCTCCAAATGCCTGAGCACAGATCTGGGGTGCTGTACCCCAGTTCTAATATGGAAATGATCCTTTTCTTCCTTGGGATCATGTTCCTCACACTCCTTTATAGTTGGATAAGAAAAAGGCCGCGTTAGGTCTCCTGTTCTGAACAACATTTCAGTGAATTTCATAGGTTGCCCACCTGGGTCTAGGACAACTCGCCATAGCCAACTCCCTGTGACCAACTCATCCCAGGACAACTCGACGTCGCCAACTTGCTGCGGGACAACACGCCGTGACCCACTCACTATGGGCCCGCCAACTCGCGGCAGGACAAGAATGAAACTAATATTGAAGGGACGGTGGGATGCAACCACTCAAGAAAGGATGCGAAAGGAAGAACAAAGGATAATGTGAATGACAAAAATTAAAAATGATGTTTAATGATTTTTAAGTAATTAAATAGAATTGTTAAGTTGTCCTGCGGTAAGTTGCCGTGGTGAGTTGTCCCATTCCATACCCAACTTCATTCTCCCTTTTAGAGCGATGTATGGCAAGATGAATGTTAAGCAGACAAAGCAGGAGGCTTAAAGCCACTTTTGAGAGTTTGCTTGTTCTTCTTGGATGCCCTTTGCTAGCTGAGCCTCCTCCTCCTCCTCCTCCTCCTCTTCCTCCTCCTCCTAAAATGTTCAGATGGCTGGATGAATGAATTGCATGGAATGCCGTTTTAACAGTTTTGCAATGCGACACGTGATCATTGAAAAAAAAAAAGAACAGAACATTTTGCATTTTTTTTAACCCATCAAGGGGACTAGCCGGTTTATTCTTTTTGCATGTGCTTTCCCCTAGACTCTGGCTGCCCTAACAAGAAATTCAATAAATCTGCTTCCAAACCATCTTGCACAAGCTTTGCATGTCCAGTCTGGGCCTGAGGAAATTAACAAGAGAATAGAACACACCATCGACTTGCGGAGTGGCGATAAGTTGAGAAGAGAGCATATCAAGCCTTTTTCCCTGATGTTTAAAGACTCTGGCCTGGAACATAAGGTAGCTGGGTCTTGGTAGATTGACTTTTGCCAACTCAGATTGACTTGCAGTTGACTGTTGATTAGCAAAGACAAAATGGCGGTGGGTTTCGCTTCTGAATCTCCTCTTCCCTTTCTTCCCAACCCATCTCTCCAAGATGGAGCTATTGAGAGTCCTTCAGACATGAAGGGTTGCAGATCCTGAGATCTGGAGTCTGTGGGCAGCTCCTGAAAACTTAATGAAAGCTGAAAGCTCCCACCACAAGTTGGCCCCAGTGGTCTTGGATGGGATCAGAGAAGGAAAACTGGAATATAGGGAGGGTGTGGTGGTCATCATATTTAACAAATTACAGTTAAATCAGATATAGGGTTTTCCTTCTTCTCCCGAGGGACAACTGTCTTTCTTTGTCATCTGCAGGTGACATCCAGAGACTAAATGTGGCTATGGGAAAAGTTGCACATGCTTAGCTAGGTCAGATCAAGACTTAAGAGATGCCTTTGCACAACAATTTAAACTTAGATAGATGGAGGTGAAGATGGGAGATAGAGGTGGAGATGGAGGTGGAGATGGAGGTGGAGGTGGAGGTGGAGGTGGAGATGAGAAGTGTAGGTGAAGGTCTAGGTCAGTGTTTCTCAACCTTGACAATTTTAAGGCATGTGGACTTCAACTCCCAGAATTCCACAGCCAGCATTGCTAGCTGTGGAATTCTGGGAGTTGAAGTCCACATGCCTTAAAATTGTCAAGGTTGAGAAACACTGGTCTAGGTTGAGTTGGAGATGGAGATGGAGATGGAGGTGGAGGTGGCGGTGGAGGTGGAGATGGGAGATGGGAGATTCAGGCTGAGGCGGAGGTGGAGGCAGAGGTGGAGGTGGAGGTGGAGGTGGAGGTGGAGGTGGAGATGGAGATGGGAGATGGGAGATGGGAGATGGAGATGGAGGTGGAGGCGGAGGCAGAGGTAGAGACAGAAAGAGTCAGAGAGAGTCAGAGAGAGAGAAATGAAGAGAGAGATAAAGATGGTGACAGACCTATTATGCAACATTTTAACATATTTGGTTACTTATAGTTTAATCTATGGTGTGAACCCCCAAAATGGTATGCAGGTAATCTTTGACTTACAATCCTTCATTTAGTGACTGTATGACATTCCAACTGCACTGAAAAAAGTGACTTACAACTGGCCCTCGCACTTACAACTGTTGCAGCTTTCCCATAGTCATGTGATCAGAATTCGGTTGCTTGGCAACTGGTGTGTATTTGCGACAGTTGCCTCATCCCAGGGTCATGTGATTGCCATCTGCAACCTTCTCAGCCATCTTCTGGCAAGCAAAAATCAACGGGCGAAGCTAGATTTGCTTAACTACTACATGAGTCACTTGAGAGCTGCAGTGATTCGCTTAACAACTATGGGGGGAAAGGGGGTAAAATTGGGTGCAACTCACTTGTTATTGTAGAACAAGGAACCCAGAAGAGAGACCACGGGTAAGTGAAAAAGAGGGAGCTTCAGGGAAGTAAAGGTACCCAAGATGAGACTATGTAAACATCTGACATATTATTGTCATGGTTCCGACAGATGAAACTCTTCAAAGAACTTTGAGGCATTGTTTACCTTAAAGAATCTTTGTGGGAGTAGCACAGCTTCAGCACTAACATAGTTGAAGCCAAAAACTGGATTCCCCTCCCCTGAGCACATAGTATCAAAGCACAATTCCCTCCTCCAATTAACAATCATAAATCACATTGTCCAATTAGTTTGAAATGCAGGCTTTCCCTCCTATTCTGCAACCCGCCAATTCTTATCATCTCTTATTTCAAGCTCTGAATTCATACACTAGTACAATATTCCGCCTCCTCCCCCAGCATCATCTAATTCTAAGAGTAAAGCATAAGAAAGAAAAAGGCTGCATCTTCATATGTTGTCAAAGCAAGAACATCCAATGTTAGCAGCGTTGACAATTATGTTGTTCTTGTTTCCCCTTGCCATCATTACAATTTGTGTCATTTCATTTGGCTAACCAATCACACATACAAGTTTATGGTTTCCACATTTCTTCTTTACTTCTTGGTCTCATTTGAGGTGCTTTTGCTTCCCTGAAGTGCCCTTCTTTTCAATTAGCCAAGGTCTCTCCCTGGGCTTCAAAATAACAGAAAAAACAGAGTTGGAAGGGACCTTGGAGGTCTTCTAGTCCAACCCCCTGCTCGAGCAGGAGACCCTATACCATCCTGGACAAATTGTTGTCCAATCATGACCTAAAACCCTCCAGTGATGGTGCATCCACAACTTCTGAAGGCAACACATTCCACCGATTAATTGTTCCTACTGTCGAGAAATTTCTTCTTAGTTTTAGCTTGGATCTCACTTCGATAGGTTTCCACCCCTTTTTCTACAATTTCCCTTGTTATGAGTTCAGATAACTTGAATGACAAAGAATTGGTTGGTTTGAAAATAAGATACCGAAGGATAAAATGAACAGGAAATTTTGGTTGGGTGCGCGTTGCATGCTAGACTAGACTAAGGAGATATGAAGTTGTAATGTAATTTATTTTGTTGGGCAGAGCCTGTGCTATAATGTATGTTTTGTTGACTAGGCCATGAGGTTTAGCAAGCTGATGGATAAGAGAACAGCAGAGGGGTTAACACTTATATAGAGCTTATATAACTATATAAATTATATAGAGGGAGTAAATAATAGTAAGAAACCAGCAACCCAAAGCTATGGGGTGAAACACTTCTTATATCTTTAAAATGGAATGAGTCACCTGGGGCTCAGAGTCATAGTACCCCTCCCCCCCCAGTAGTGATTCTGTGACCCTCAGCACCTAAGAATATGCTGCTGAAATACAGTGCTGAGTGGGCACTAAACTGGTACTAGATTCGGGTCAGTGGAATTCAAGAGGGTTGGACCATTTGTGGCAACATAAGGATTCTAAGCTGATCACGTACTTAACTCCACCCCCAGCTCTGCCTGCTCCTCTCCTACATCTACAAGTATATTGCATGCACATGCACAAGAATAAAAGTGGATTGATTAAGTGCCAGTAAGTTGGCGTCAAACTCTTAATGACTCCATGAGTAGACATTCTCCAGGATGATCTGTCCTGAGAAGATGAAATTAGAAGAGTTAATGAAGCCCTGAAACATTAGATTTTACTCTTCCTATAAATGCAGGAGAAGGCTGTTTTTCTATCTTCTAAGTATGTATGTCTGACTTCCTTCTCCAGAATGCTTCCAATGATTGTCCAGTTTTCAATTCTAATTATATTACATTCGGCTCTGAGTGGTCCATTTTCTGTTACTTTTTTTTTCTTTTTCCCCAGAAATAAGGATGAAAATGGGAGGAGGTTTTTTCTTTCTGATTCTGTGGACACCAATAGAACAGTGCCCTTAAATAAATAGCTATTGTACAAATGAATTATACTCCTGGTGGCTGACTTTATCTGATTTGTGGTTAAAATCTCTGAGACTTTAAATCCATTTAGATCAGCAGAAGTATTCCATTAAAAGGTCTTTATTGGAATATATTACTTTCCAGCACAATTACAACATTTTTATTAATAATGATACAGATTTTCTGTGTCTTGGTTTCAACAGATTAAACCCTTCAAAGAACTTCGAGCCATTGTTTACCTTAAAGAATCTTTATTTGAGTAGCATAGTATCGGCACTAACATAGTCGAAACCAAAAACTAAGTTCCCCTCCCCTGAGCACATAGTATCAAAGCACAACTCCCTCCTCCAATTAACAGTCATAAATCACATTCCCCAATTAGCTTGAAATGCAGGCTTCCCCTCCAGTTCTCCAGCCTGCCAATTTTTATCATCTCTTATTTCAATAACCTTGGTTCTCACACTAGTTTCAGTATTGTTATGTCTAGCTAAACTCTCATGCCCATTCCTCCCCCCAGCATCATCTAACTCTAACTCTAAAAGTAAAACATAAGAAAATGGTTGCATCTCCATCTGTTGTCAAAGCAAAAACATCCGATGTTAGCAGCGTTGACAGTCTGTATCCTTGAGAGATATGATCACTGACCACCTCTCCATTAAGGCAGAAGGAAAAGGGACAGATGTTGTTTGAGTGTCCCTCCTTAGGTGACCAGACATGAGTTGAACTCAAGAAAGAGATTAGAACCTACTAAAAAAACTGAGTTCTATTTCTCCTGAGAAGAAAAATCTTAAACACTTGGCTTAGTGCTTCTTAAATGATTTAGATGATTTTTTTTTTTTACCAATTCAATTGTTGGGTTCCATCGATTCCTAATTTGGTCAATGGCCAGGAAGGATCAGACCTAAGCCAACTGATTTCCAGAAATCAAGACCTTTCCCATGGGCTGATGTTCTTCATCCATCCTTGATGGATGGATTCATCCAACTAGACCAGCATGAAATTTGTTGCTCCTATTATTGTACTCATTGCTATCCTACCTCTATTATTCTTCTCCAATCACTGAATACCTTGGCTGTCCTTCACCTGCTGGGTGCTGAAGCATAACAGATTTGACCTTCTGGTTGACCTTGGATGACCTTGATGTAAGGAGAGGAGGGAGGAGAAGTTAAATTGACTACCAGTATAGCTAAGGCTGAGTAAGCCTATCTCACTCATGACTTGAGATGAAGGCACTATCCCAGAAGACATGGCAAAAAGAAGATGTTCCAAGGAAGCATTTATAAACCTGATTAAGTGAAATGTGAGAAGGTACTCAAAGATAACCAGCTCTCCTTAGATTGGACAGAATAACAGAATAATAGAGTTGGAAGGGACCTTGGAGGTCTTCTAGTCCAAACCTCTCCACAGTCAGGAAACCCTGTACCATTTCAGACAACTGGCTGTCCAATCTCTTCTTAAAAGCCTCCAGTGATGGAGCACCCACAACTTCTGAAGGCAAGCCATTCCACCGGTAAATTGTTCTCACTGTTAGGAAATTTTCCCTTAGTTTTAGAGTTGCTTCTCTCTTTGATCAGTTTCCATCCATTGTTTCTTGTCTTGCCTTCTGGTGCTTTGGAAAATAGGTTGTCCCACCCC